TGATGAAATGAGTCATAAAGTGTTTGTACAACTCCCTAGAGAGTTGATAGATTCCAGTGTAAGGTTCTTAAACCATCTCACTATCCCTCATTCAATGTAAAGTGGAATAAATTTAATTTATCCGACCCTTTGGCTTCCTAAAAATTGAGGAGGGCTTCCATAATCTCAATGTGGCTATCTAGGTCTGTATTCTCATAATAGGATCCCGTCCCCAGAGGTTTTAAGAGATCTCAATGTATGGAATATCTATTGATCCGAAGAATAGAAGTAATCTTTCTCAAGTATCTCCTTCGACCTAAAATATTTCTTAAGAGGAAGATAATGTTTGAGCCTTCATGCCATATGTTGTGACGTTTATGGCATTGATGGGGATTTCAAGGCGAATGCCTCCACAATGACATGGACATGGTTTTTCTTGCAGCGTTTGTTTCTCTTGGATTTGGATGGAGTGAAATTCTTGGTAGGGGCTCGTCGATCTTCATTAGTGAAAAAATGTATTCCTCATCCAATTGGGTTACCCTTATATCTACCCTTAGGGGCCTCACCGATGTGGTCTGGGTACAATTACCAACCACCTTGTCTCGTGTCATCCTTTCATCTCTTGATCAATAATGTGTGATTTCCTCTTTATATTAAGTAAGATACTTTTTAGTAGATTGTTTGTTTCTTGGTTCATTGTGTGAACCTCGAGAATCTCCCCGTCTATGGGAGGCCTACTAGGTTGCTACTAGAGTGTTGATGCTCCAAGATGAAGATGAATCAGTTAGTACGTCTTGGAGATCTTGGTTCACCATCATGATATCAATGGAAATAAAAGAATAAAGTCATAGGTTATTTCTAGTTGTGGCCCCTGTCCGCTTGTTTTTGTTACCCACCATAAGATCTAGGATGGATGAAAAATGTGGAAACGTCAAAGGACACGCCCATCGGACAACACCAAATTATATGGAGTGATGATTTTCTTCTTTCTATAGTTTGTTGGTGTACAAACTCTAGAATGACAAAATCAGGGGTGTATGTGGATCTAATGACAAACTCTAGAATGACCTTCTAGCTTTGTCCAACGATAAGGGGTGTATGTGCAAACACTTCATCTCTCAAGTCAGTGACTATTACAAATGTGAGGTGTTAGGTAAAAATTGTGTGTACAAGAGACTTATTTATAATTAACTTTTTATGGTGAAATTCTAATATTTTGAGACCCTAAAACCATCTTTTTGTTACAACTATCTTCAGGTGTATCTTTAGGGCAGGTCTATCTCAAGATTACAATGTACTATAACATTTTTCATGAACGCAATGCTCAAAGGGTTAACATGACCTATCTATTTATTTGATCCAACAGTCCTCGAGTGCTTAGTTAACCTCGTTCTAATATGATACTAAAGTGTACTCCCTCCATTCCTATTTATAAGAAAATTTTGACTTTTTAGATTCATTGAATAAATGTTGTATTTGGACAATATAATGACTAGATACATTATTATTCAATGAATGTAAAAAGTTGAAATTTACTTATAAATAGGAATGAAGGGAGTAATTATATAGAGAAATCAAAGCTCTTGAGCCATCCTTCAAATATGGAGGTTATCGATTGTCTCGTAAAAGTGTAAATAATGATTTGAGTAGACAATTAACTGTCTACTATCAAATAATCTTAAAATTGGATGGGTTGAGCCCCTACTAGGGGTGAAAATAGGCTGGGCCAAGCTATACTTTTCCAAGCTTAAGTTTGGCCTGCCAAAAAACCCGAAGCCTAAGCTTGGCCTATAGCCTGTCATAGGCTTATTTTTAGGCCTGAGTATGACCTTTTTGAAAGTCTGGTTAGCCTGTTAGCCTACGTAAGAGCCTATTATTTTAGACATATGTAAATAAGCAATTCAAATAATATTTAAATAAACTAACAAACTAAAAGCCAATGAGAGAAAAAATTTGTTTGCATTGACTTATTTTAATTTACCTATGAATATAAGTTTTGTGAGACTATTTGTTTAAGAGAACTTATAAAAACAACTTACGACATTGTTAATAAGGTATTTTCATCTTATTTTCACAAGTTCTTCAAGATAACCAAATTTTATATACGTATTTTAATTCAAAATACAAAACATAGATAATAATAAAATTATTCATATTTATTTAAATAGACCGGTCTGATAGGCTTAAAAGACTTTTTTAATAACCTGGAACCTAGTATTTTTAACTAAATAGACTTATAAATAAGTATAAACATTTTTTATTTAAATAAAAAAGATGGTATGACCTGAGTCTTTATAGACTAGACCATAGGTTCCTGTTAATGATCTGACCAATTTCCATCCCTAGCCCCTACTTGTGAATTTTTTTTTTGCAATAACCATGTATTGAAAAAAAACACAAATAACCATGTTTCGAAGAAAATTATGCAATTAACCATGTTTCAGAAAACATGTGAATGGTGGCACCAAGTCAATTTCCGTATGCACTTACCATTTGGCCTTAGGAGCCATCTCACTTGACGCATAAACTCCATGTAAGTCATGTGAGATGGCACATGCACTATAATAGGGGGAGGAGGCACCATCTGGGATGACTTATACATGCAATTGTGTTTTCTAAAAATAAAACACTTATTTCTCCATCATTTTCACACTTTATCACTTTCTCTTCTCATTTTCTATCTTTATTTTGCATCAGGACATCTCCCATGATTTTCACCAGAGATGGGTATGTTATTTTCTCGCCCACCAAACTTCCGATGAATGAAATTTTGGCACATTCCCTCCATAGAGCGTCTGAAGAGAGAGTTGAAGCGATGGCTAGAGGGAGACATCGAAACTGGGAAACAAATTAGAAGGACCCAGAGAAGAAGAAGAACCACCTCACTTGCAACTGGAAGACCTCAATCTTGGTTGGAGGAAGTTAAAACAGACACAGACGTAATTGTGATGATGCACAAATCCGATGAAATTGTCTTGACGGTTGTAATTTCTTAGATATTTTATCATGTTGTTGATGTTATATTTACATGTTTTATTTGTTGTTGTTTTAGTCGTGATGTGTTTTTATTTGTTGATTGCATATGCTTTGTTGTAACAAATGATTTTAATGAAAAAAAGTTCTGATATTAAAAAGTACAGATAGTTTGCATACATTATTTATGTTGTCGAGCTAGTAGCACGAGTGGGACAATTTTTTCGATTGTGTCCGGCTTGACGGTATAAATCACACTTTCTTTCTAACTTGTCAAGACTGTCAATATCATTTGTGATACGCTAGCTTTTGGGACGACTCTTTTTATTCCTTCACATTTGGTTGTTGTGCCAAACTATTTCCCCTTCGTACACAGGCTAATAATCAAGTTTTGCTACCATTGGAAAGCCATTGTTGTATACGCCGAGCAAGATCTCGGACTTGTAAATGAGAGATAGAAGTAGTAATGCATCTTGATGAGTATGTGTACATGCCGCAATGACATGAGAGCAAGGCATACAAAAGGCTTGAAACTTTCCACAATCGCACCAACGAGATGGTAGTATAACCATATACTCTTGTCTTGACAACCTCTCGTTGTGGTCGATTGTCTCTTTGACAATAAAGTTGTGGTTATATTGGTCGAACCGTGTAACAAAATTGGTCGAATGTGCTGATCTGACGAATTTCTTAGATCCTGAACTCATTGACTATGTTGGGCCTTCGACCCAACCTCAACAGGAAAATCGTTGAAACGCACCAAGAACAAGGCGGGGACATGGGTGCAGAACAGATGATCATTATCAAGTACCAGGGAGAACAACTAAATAAAGTGTAACAGTTACGCTCATTATGTAATTGTATGGTTATGAATGAAAATCGAACTTATGCAATATCGTTTCACACTTGTCTTTTATTTAAAATAGAAAAAAAAAACACTTTGCCCCTATCCCTAAAAGCACTTAGACGTCGTCTAAAATGGCTTAGGGCAAACACATTACACGCTATCTCAGTTGGCGCATCCTTTAAAAAAATTGAATATATGCGTTAATTGACTTGGCGCCATCATTCACATATTTTCTGAAACATAATTATTTACGTAATTTTCTCTGAAACATAATTATTTATCAATTTTTTTCAATACATAATTATTGCAACAAAAAAATTCCCCACTTGTATCAAAACAGCATCGATTGTGATATTCTTAATTATTAATTTGCTAAAAAGAACCTAATTCACATTTATAAAAAAACGATTAGTCTCAACATCAATTAAATGGACGAGTGGCTTTACCATCTAAGCATTCTTAATTATTTAATATGGAAAATATCAAGGAAGTGAATGCACGCGCTTAAAAGAGAAGTGGGGTAGGAATATCGCAGAATTTGAAATGTCTGGTCATCTTTGGTCACAATCATGACTGCTCTCTGCCAAACTTTGTCCTGTTTTGACACAGCACACCCACACACTCTTTTCCTCTTCTTTTCTTCATATAACCCTCGGTTTCTTCCTTTTCTTCAACACACACACACTCTCTCTCTCTTACGGTACCATCCCTCTAACTCCCAGTTGCTTCCCCTTTTCTGGAAACAGATATCTGATCCACCCTTTTACCCAAAAAATCAATACCATCATTCCATTTCCACTTTAGTATATATGGATTCCATCTCACAAACTAGCCTCATAACCTAACCTAGACTCAACCAAACTAAACTAAACTAAACACTCACTTCATTCCCTCCTCTCCAATCCTCTCTCTAAACCCTATATATTCTTATTCTTCCTTTCATCTGTCACTGTATCATATAATATCCTATATATAGTAATATTATTCTCTATTTTTATTTGTTTTCTTGTTTTCTTATTCATATGAGGGGAACATGTCAAATATGTTTTCTTATATAAATAATAATAATAATAATAATATCATAAAACGGAAACCCTAATTTTCTCAGTGCATCTCAATAATGATCAGTGTCATCATCTGCAAGATCTAAACCAGATCCAAATTTACAAGGCCATTTGAATAAATATAAAGAAAAAACTCAATGGATTTGGTTTCAGAATCTACGAACTCGACCTTAAGTAAGATCGAGAGTCCCACAAGTGGATCCTCGATAACCAACAATAGTAATACCAGTGGATGTTCGACTCCAACTTCAAGCCGTTACGAAAACCAAAAGAGAAGAGACTGGAACACGTTTTGCCAGTATCTCCGAAACCACCGTCCACCACTCTCACTAGCCCTATGTAGCGGTGCTCATGTTCTTGAGTTTCTCAACTACCTTGACCAGTTTGGGAAAACAAAAGTTCATAACCATCCTTGTCCTTTCTTTGGAATCCCTAACCCACCTGCTCCTTGTCCTTGTCCTCTTCGTCAGGCGTGGGGAAGTCTCGACGCTCTCGTCGGTCGCCTCCGTGCTGCTTATGAAGAGAACGGTGGTCGGCCTGAGACTAACCCTTTTGGTTCTCGGTCTGTTAGGATTTATTTAAGGGATGTTCGTGATTTTCAAGCGAAAGCTAGAGGTGTTAGCTATGAAAAGAAGAGGAAGAGGACTAAACCTAAGATCACTGCACCCACAACTGCTAGTTAGGTATGTATACATCTTCTCTTTTTGTTACTATAAACCAATATTCTCTGCTGCCAACTGCAATAAGCAAAAACTCTTATGTTTTTTTTAATGTTTATGTTTTTTTTATTAGGTGCTTTTTGTGTTTAAGATGACGTGTTAGATGGTGATAACACTGTTGAGAATTGAGATGGGTTTGGAATTAATTATGGTACTTAATAAATTAAGGTGAAGTAGATAGATGGTGCAAATTTGAAGTCGTGAGTGAGGTCTCTAGCTAGCTGAATCGACAAGTATGCGTTCTGGTTATAAGATTCATTCATGGTCATAACTACAAGTAGGAGAAGAAGAAAATGTTGCGATTTTATAATTCCTGTACCGAATCTTGTACGAAATATAGTTTATGTATCTGTGAACATGAAGTGGTTTGGTCTCCTATGGAAGCTAGCTAGCTTTTATATATATATATATATATATTGAAAGTTAGTAGAGTCTTTACGCGGGATTACTAGTATAATTGGGCGTGGTATCCACTAGTATGCTATTAATAATTGGCTGTGGATATTGAATATATCTGGTTAAGATATTGGCCTTACATTAAATTTATCATTTGTATGTATGTATGTGTTGCGGGAAACTGCATATCCACGGTTGGATTTAGTTGTTAAAAGAGCAGGTGCGGCCACAGAAACAGATCCTTTCCTGTTCTCTCATGTTTTTGGTCATGCTTCGATCTTAATGTTGTTGACTGATAAATTGAAATATGTTATCAAATGAATGGTTGTGATTGAGCATGGCCATTCAGCCACTGCAATGATCCATATTGCATGCCCTAAGGATATGGTTATCAAATGTTAATATGACTCACACCTCTAATTAAAATGTGGATATTTTTAATAGGATGGCAAAATCAGCCGTCCATCCTGTCTTAAGTCCTAAGTCCGTCAAAAAAAGGTGGGGATGAGGCGTGCAAAGTTAAATTAAATTTAAAAATTAATATTTTTTTAATAAATTTTATTTAAAAACTATTATATATTCACAAATAATAAATATATAAAATAAAATCATCAAAAATTGAGATTATTAGAATTAATTAAAATGACAACTAAAAGTCTAAAATCATAAAGAAATTTCATTTAAAATAGAATATCAACAAGAGTTTCGGCTTATAAAAAAACAAGAATTTCAAAACTATAGTTCAAATATTAACATGAAAAACAAATTCATAATAAGTATTGAGTACAACATCAAAGAATAGTGATTAAAATTACATAATATTGTCTAATAAAATAAGAGACAAAATAAGAGGGAAGCATTCTAAAATCTAAATCTTAATTATCAAGGTCAATAATATTAGACACACTCTTAGAACAAGTTAGATCCTCTTTTTCATCTTCATTGTCATCACTATCTTCAAGTCTCAACCACTCTTCCTTCGAAGGATTACATATATTATTTGCATCATAACAATGAAGGTTTTCAAATGTACGTTGATATTTAAGAGCAGTTGTTGAATTCCATCTTGTAGACACCTCTTTTTTTTTTGTATGTAACATTTTTTTAAAAGATTAAGTGGGCTTGGCGGACCAACTTGCCCTATTACATCTTTAGCTCGTGAAATTTTTTGTTTTGGCAGGATGGATTGAACGGATAGGCAGATCAAGAATTCAAATTTAATTTATTATTTATTTGCAGGTGAGCATGCCGACTCTGTGGATCACAGTCCGTTTTAACACCCTTAATTTTTAAATACTTTAAAGTGAAATGACCAGTAAACAATACTTTTAAGATATGGTTTAGACTTTCACCCTTTTTATCATAAAAAAAAAAACTTTTAAGATTGATTGTTCAAAGTTTATTTCAATAATTCCCAAAGCCCAAACCCTTTCAATTCAAAATTATCAAATTCTAATATCTTCTTAAATTTTTTCGGTCTATATCACGAAATAGAATTCCTTGCAGACGGAATTTGTTCGAATTCACATTATCAAAATATTATTAACCATTTAATTTTGATCGTATGATTCAAAAAAAATATATATTTCTTTTAATTATCGTCTTTAAATAATAACAACCTGAAATTGATCAAAGATCTATTACATTAAATACTTGAAAGCGTAGTTTCTTGACCGTATGCAATCCTCGTTTGTTGATCATCATAAAAATAAAAGCTGGAAGGAGACTTTTGTCCCTTACAAAAATGATATGAAGTTGATCACAATTCTTATAAATTAACATATACTCTTTAGTCCCTTACAGATAATGCATCACTTTAACGAATTTTCAATGATCCAAACCTTGTTTACTTAATATTCACTATCATATTACTATAAAAGTAATACTAATACTAAGATGAGTACAAATTTAAAGTAAAAAGTTCTTACTATTCTCACACATACAACCTATTTCATAATTATTATTATTTTCTTTATTTAGGAATTATTTAGTTTTCTGTACTGTTCTCCTTATATTAAATGACTTACTATTAATTACTTTATATATATATATATATATATATATATATATATATATATATATATATATATATATATATATATATATATATATATATATATATATATATATATATATATATATATATATATATATATATATATATATATATATATATATATATATATATATATATATATATATATATATCTTTGGGTTCAATAATAAGATACAAACAGTATTTTTTATTATAGAAATTAATATGTATCACTTAATATGGTATTAAAGTCTGGTTCCTCAATTCTCAAAGATTTTTCAAAACCACCACTATTTTTTAAAAATCTTTATCAAAATCTTATTATTTTACCAAAATTTTTTTTCTCACAATCCTCCATTTTTACCACAAAAAAAATCCTAATTCTCAAATCCTTTTTCATGGCAGAACAAACTTACGCCAATTTCGCTATTAATCCATCTAACCCCTACTACATCCATTCCAACAAAAACCCTACCTTAATCTCCATTTCTCCTCCTTTTAACATCAAGAATTACTTATCTTGGGCCCGATCCATGAAGGTGGCCCTCATCTCCAAGAACAAGTTGTGTTTCAATGATGGAACTTTTCAGAAACCTACTGCCAACAACATTATCCATGATCCATGGGTTCACTGCAATAATCTAGTATTTTCTTGGATTCAATGTTATGTCTTTGAAAATATTACACAATCGACTCTCTGCTTCGACAATGCATCCACTGTTTGGGATGATTTGCGAAATCGATTCTCTGAAGGTGACATTTTTTGTCTCTCTGATCTTCAAGACGATATTGTTCGTCTTCAACAGGATCGCTCGATGTTTCCACCTACGTCACTCATCTGACCTCAATTTGGGAACAAGTAGACACTTATCGACCTACCAGAGATTTCACCTGCGCCATTCCTTGCACTTGCGGCACCGCCACTAACCTTCTTAAGTTTCATGATCAAGATAAGGTACTCAAATTCCTAAAGGGTCTTAATGATAAATTTTCCCATGTTCGATCTCAGATAAAACCTTCTCCCTCATCCTTGGCCAAGAAAAATAGCTTACTATACCCTCTTCCACACTCTCTGTTCCTGAGAATCAAACCCTAGCCTCCAATCTTCAACTGCAACATAACACTAATTGGCATTGGTCGTGGTTCTCAACTGTCTTTTTTTCAAGGCAGAGGTCGCTCTCAATACTACAATGGTCGTGGTACCAATCCATCATCCACTCACATTTTCACCCACTATGTTCGCACAAACGACTTCATCGAGAGTTTCTTTGTTATACACGGTTATCCTCCTGGTTTCCAACACCGCCCCAAAACCCCCCTGTTCATTCCACTATTGGAGAAGCTTCTTCTACCACTCCATCCACCATAAATGGTACCTCCAATCTCATCATTCAAGAGAAATACAATCAACTCCTGACTCTTCTTCAACAATATCTCACCATCAATACTGCTCCGGCTCAGACCTCCGACCTCCACTCCGTCTTTTCTTCCAATGGGAATATCAATGCAATTTCTACACCTATGGGTAAGAATCTAACCCCTTGGATAATTTATACTGGTGCCACGCACCATGTAACTTATTTGTTTTCTAAATTTTCTAATTATAAAACCATTGCTCCTTCATCCTAAAAATGCCAAATGGGCTGTGATGCGGTGTGAGAACTGACTTAAGGGTTTTACGTTTTATCGCAAATGTTGCGGTTAGCAAGAGTCGCCACCGAATTCTCTTTTATCCAAAAGGAAAGGTGAAAAAACACAGGAAAGACCTTTGAGATTATTTCTTGAGTTCGGGGGGTAGATTATGAAAAGGGAAGGTATTAGCACCCTTTTCATCCATGGTTTTCCATGGGTTCTTAGTTACTTTGCTAGATCACTTGCTTTTTGTTTTGAAATTGTGCTTTGTGTGGTTTTTGAAAGTATTTTGTAAAAGAGGCCATTGTTTATGCAATCTTTGTAATGATTCTCGTTCGTAAGAATGTATACAAAGATGTTTGTCTTTTGGAAAATGTTTTCAATGTTTGTAAAATGTTTTGAAAATGTGTGTGTTTTGTTTTGAAGATAGGAAGGATAATTGTTTAAAAATAGAGCAAGTAACTAGAAGTAATCTACCTACTCAAATGTCTTTCTTGTTCATTTTCTATTCCTTTGACATTGTTATCTTACCATTGATTTAGTAAGAAACCCTATCTTTGGATGTAAACGGGACAGGCGAGGGTCATCGTATAACCATGATTAGCAATATTGCAAAGTATCTTAGCATTTTTTAGGGACCAAGATCATTTTGTAAGGCAACTTAGAATAGCGTCATCGAGGGACTATGATCTTATATTTGTTTGTTTTGCCAAGATACTTCGCATGCGTAATATGGCTATTTTTATATAAGGCAACCAAGTGGGGAAACCCTAAGGGTGCTTGTGTGTAAGTGTGTTATTTTCATGCTTGATTTTGTCCTGGATTAGGATTTTCTATTTAATTTGTTTTGATCTTGCCATGCAAATCCTAATTACTAGCATGGTATATAAAAGCGGTAAAT